GAGAATAAAATCTAATTTGTTAGGTTTACTTAGATTTGACTCTAAAATAATACCATGAGGGTTTCTTATTTGTTTTTTGCTTTGTTTTATAAATTTGTTTAAGAAAACATTCTTTATTACACCGAGCTTGTTTACTGTCATGCACTATGAAACATTGAGCGATCTGACGTCATCACAGCCGAAGCACACCTCTAGTGCAAAACACCCCACGAAAATGGCCCAATTGGTGGGCAGGCGGAGTTTCTGGGGGCGTGACCTATTCTGTTTACAACTAGACTGCCGACCAGCATTACCCAACGAAGAATGTGTGCTTGGAAAAACATAATCAGACCTAAAGAAATGCACGCAAAAACAATATAAAAATCGCATCAATTTTATTGGTACTGTAATAATTGAATTTGCTGAGCAGTACAGCAAAACAACAGGTACTGTACGTATTATTAAATAATGTTGAATATGCGTAGGCTAGGCTAGGCCTAGTCAAAAGAATCCAGGGCTTTGATAAATTAATTAAATAGCTAGGCCCAGACTACAACAACCTTGTTCAAAATGGGTTCAATGTATTAAGTTCTATAAACTGAACTGGACGACAAACTGAACATTGGAGCCGGTACGGAGGGGTGTCTGTATTGTGAGAGTAGACTGCAACTTACGACATACGATCGTGTGATCCAAGTTCCAAATCGCGCTGTCTGAGATGTTAGTTTTGACTTGGCTAACTTGTTGCCGTACAAGAAGGATTGAACTTTGTTTTCCAGCGGCTGTGTATTTTCCCACGTGCGCTACAAAATTTGGATCTTCGACTTGTGTGGTTGAAATTACTTTAAAATCGGCCTGGACCGGAAAATTCCGTCGATATAGCCGAAATTCGACTTTAAAAAATTCGAATTAAACAAACAATTTATACAGTAATACATAGGAAAGAATTGGGACTTCTTCAAAAATTCGACTGACGCGAATTAGCATGTTTTTATTGTATGACCTTGTTTAAGACAATCTGGGAATAGTAGTAGTGTAGTTGGTCCAAACTAGCTAGTAGACTAGACGCTTATAAGTTATATAGGCCTAGGCCGAGTCTTGGCCGGGTCCTAGGCCTACTCTAAGCTAGATATTTCATACATCGCGGCTGAAACCAGTCTGTACTCTCTCTAGCCTAGCCTCTAGCTAGGCCTACAAAACTAGCCTAGGCCTACGTACCTATGCATATTATTATAAATATCCAGGCACAATACATACAGTTATTACAAATGTTTCTTACCATAACTGTCTAGCCTGACACAAATATTAACAATGATTTCAATGAATAAGCAACTCTTATTTCTTGTTTGTTGTGCTTCGAAACCGTGCTTGTCGACAAAAATGAATTAAAATTACCTCCCGAAAGTAACTATCTAACATGCCTTATTATTGGCTTACGAACGCAAACGTCAAAATTTGACAATGAACTGGCCAATAAACGTACATGTTTCATAAAGTAGGACATAATAAAAATACTAAATACAATTTTTTTTCTTCAAATGTACAAAAATTTGAAAACTTTTAATAATGTTATTATTTATTTCTACTTAATTATTTTATCATGTATTTATATTTTTATTTAAACAATTACCTTCAGTAAATTACTTAAATTGTGTATTTTAAATAATCTGGATATACTGTTGTGTCGGGAGATGGATCTTTGACCTGGTGGCCTGGATGAGGGCGCTACGGACAAAAACAAATAAAGATTATGAAATAATGTGTTTGCTAAGATTGATAAAATGATTTGATACATTTTGGAGAAGTAAATGCTTTTGTAGGGAAAATGGTAAGGTCAATGTTGATTGCACTAAAATAGGTAGCAAGGGTAGGGCCTAAAGCAGTGAATTAGCGTAGATTTTCTGTAGTTAGCTGCAGCTAGTTATAATCATATAGATATACTGTAGTGCGGGTGGTTGGTGGTATTGTTGTTGGTAGCGTATAGTAACTTGGCCTAGCAATACTAATAGGCCTGTATATAGCTTTTGTTGTTAACAAATTTACCTTGAATCTTTGAGACTATTTGTCCCTCCATCATTATTAAAACGAATCGTCTTTGTTGGTAATATACGGACTGAACTTTAAATGACTATACAGCTTTTCTTTAAGCCCATTTTGAAGCAGTTATCCGAACCATATGGGTCCATGTACTAAAAACTAAAAGGGAGTTCAAATCAAACTGCAAATCCTTTTACTTCTTCTGTAAGGTTCTATGCACTGTGGTTGGAGGAAGTGGATTTCTTGGCCAGCATCTAGTCGAGAAACTGTTGGCCGATGGTTACGTTGTCAGGGTATTTGATATCAAGCATTCATTTGACAATAAAGCTGTGGAATTTCATATTGGAGATTTATGTCAACCAAAGGTACTGCTTTATTGCTAATTATTTATTTTTTAACAAATTTAGGGGGAAAAAGACTCTGGAACCCCCCCCCCCCTTCTTGAATCCACCACTGAACACACACCCAGACATTTTATTTGTCACTGCAATGTTGTTATCCTGCATCCAACAAAAATATGAATGAAAACATTTTTATGTACACATGAATATTATTGATACCAAGATAATTTCTATATTGTTTGATCTATAATTTAGGATCTGTTACCAGCGTTAGAAAGTGCAGATATTGTGTTTCACTGTGCCTCACCCTCTTCAGCGTGTATCAACAAGTAAGCTTGTCATCTTCCTTTTTTGTGGGTATATCTTTCTATTGAGGTATACACGAGTGTAGGAAAAAATGCCAGTAGGAAAAATGCCAGTTAACAGAAACACCATACCAGTGAAACAAAACATTTCATAATAGGGGTGCTGTTTTGTGCAAAAATAACTGACACAACCAAATTAACCGATCTTTATTAGGTTTCATCAATTAAAAAAATTAAATACAGCCTACCAACTGCTTTATTAAGTTGCATTTAATCATCATAATTATAGTACATTTACATAAATAAATACATCCTTTTAAATCAGTTAATTAGCTTGTATGTATTTACTTATATAGAGAATTTCCAATGGGCTGTCTGTCTCATCTTCTAAAATCAAGCCACATTGTGGTCACTGCTTTTTTGGTATTAAAATTGGTAGGGATATTAATTTCACAAATGCACTGCTACAAAGTGCCAACTGCCAGGATATATTGCCACATGCCACTATACAGTGTAAACCTCATTCCATTTCAGAGACCTGTTCTACAGAGTAAA